ACAGTAATGAACAGCATTGTTGTTATTTTCCATGTCATAGAAGTGTTAAATGCACAAAAAATTTGAGTACCAAGCACATCTAATAATTGCTAGTTGATTACAAATGCTGCAATGTGAATCATAATTTTCAAAATAAAAATCTATTGGAGTAGGATATTTTTCTATTATCTTTTCTGACTTTTTACCAAGCACATTTCAATAAATTTACGAGACGCGTTGACGAAAACTGATTGTAAGTCAAAGAATGAATTTTATTATTTCTCAAATAAAAATTGATATTATATCGATAAAGAATAACACAGGCCTTTTCTTCATCTCCAAGCTCTGTAACTTGTGATCATATGACCTCAGACCCTTAAACCCTAATTGACTTAACCCAACTTTCGACCTATGTAATCTGTGATATATTCCCATTTACCTTAACATCTGACTTCTATAACGTATGACCATATAACCCCAGCTCCCAACCCAAATAACCTTAACCTCCGACTCTTACAACCTGTGATTTTAATGTTGTGAAACTACTAAAATAATTAACATCAATCAATAATGCTTGATAAAAAAAGATATTTCTAATCCAAAAATCCAAAAAAAGTTTCTTTGTGATAATTGTACTGATTTTTAGGAAAAAAACTTATTCACAATGTTACGTACATTGAACATAGTAAATAATTATAATTTTTGCACATTTAGGTTAGAATATCTCAACAACGTTAACTAATAGATCAATTCTGAATCCAGATTCAAATTCAAATTCATAAACATCAAGTGGTTGAATAAAACTAGTTTTACTAGTCGAAACTGTCATAATTTTAACTTACTTATCATTTAAATTCATTTTATAATATTTATGATATTTTTGTCCAATCCAGAAATCCGAACGTAATACAGAGATTTCAAGAATTCTAACAAATGACTGATAGAAACACTTCTTTATACCACTTAATAGCCAATTTTAAACTAAGTTTATCTAAAGTTGAAGTAAATTGTAACGAGATAGTAAGGCTCGTCACCAATTATTTGAGGCGAGGAAGAGAGGCAATATCGCTCTAAGTAACTGAGAGAAGAGTAGAATAAGAGAAAGAAAAAATAAAAGGGTTAGACTCGTTAATTCTAAAATCTTAATTCTATATTCTACGCATTAACTTAACTTACTGTACCATGAAAGCCTGACAATCAGTTAGCTCGTTGACTGGCGTAGTATTGCCACGGCCATGGTGCGAATACCGGAACGGCAAACCATCGCAATATCTCGAAGGTGGACGTCTTACTATCGCGGCACCTGAATACGGGTAGGGACGACGGCCACGTCTGAGATAGAAAGAGAGAGAAAACTCTGAAAAGGCACTTGACCTTAGTTTCGCAGCAGGACTCCTCGGCGAGCGGGAAGCGGCAGGCCACCTTTCCTTAAAGGCGCGTCGTCGCTTTCCCGGTGAGCAGCTTTCTCCTTGACTTCTTGTCCTTCGTTGTCTCTTTTCTTTTTCTTCTTCTCACTTTTCGTGCTCGACTTTGCTTCTGACGACCTCCCTTGACTGACTGTCCAACCTGATTGACTGTCCTTGCACTCGCTCAATCGCTAACCTCTTACTCTTCACACAACTCGTACTCAACTTTCCCTTCGCACAACTCGTTCTTAACTGCCGCTCAACTTTTTTTTCTCTCAACGCTTATTGCATACCCTCTTGACCTAATTTCACGGCTGCACGAGTTGCCGCTAATCGATCGTGCTCTTGCCGTGAAACGTTGCCCAATACCGAAACTTGGTCCCTTATCTCTCTTTCTTTTTCTTCGCTCTCTTCTTTTCTTGCTCGTAGTCATCCTCACTAGTCCCTCTCTCGGTTCATCGATCATTATTGGCTGCTGAAAGAAAACAAACCGCATTAGGCGCATTCTTAAAATGCATCCAACGTCGGTTGCTAGGCTAGCCGAGAATAGTGGAAGGGGAGGGAGCGGCATGACAAAACATCGTTACCTGCTCCCGTCACAAATATTACAGTGTAATCTTCTTAGTAAATATTTTTTCCAACTAAAGGTCCGGATTGCCAACAATTTTCTTTCAAAACCATTAATAATTGGCTTTTTAATACACCGTCAGCTGAAACGATCGGTTGTATTGTATAATTCTACATCGATGAGTTGAAAAATTGTGCTCTACATTCAACTTTAACAACTTCTTTCAATGCTAATACGTCAACATATAGTGCAAGATTGACCCAAATTGATCTTAAATTGCGGAGTTTCTCTACTCTCTTATGATGGCAGCGTTTGCAGCGAACAATTTTACTACACGACATTTGATTCTTTAACAAGTAGGCTATTAGAGTGTTAACGCTGCACTCTCGTACACAATCGTAATAGATTTTATTTTTGTTTTTTTGATACACATGGAGAATCAGTCCTTGGTTTTTGTAGAACGTTTGCATGTTCATCTGTCGCAACGAAGCAATACTCTCGAAAAATAAATTATCCTTGAGATTTCTATCCACATAATTTTAAAGATAGTATTATGTTCGTAAGCAAATATTAATAACTAATAGATTTCACTGTCATACGCACAAGTTTTGGCAAATATCACCTGTTGGATATTTATTATCACGGGATCAATTAAGTGACCATTTCGCACATTTAGCATGGTACATCGTTTCCATTCCATTTCTAGCGGGATTCGTGGATTCTTTGTAATTAACTTTTAAATTATCGTTTAATTTATATTTTACAAGTGTCTTTTCTGTTGGTATCTTTTCTTTACGTTGTAACGGGGTGATACCGTTTATTTAATTGAATGCGCACGATCGTAGCGAAGAGCGCGCGTGATTACCTATACGTTCAAACACGAAAAACCGGAGAGCAGGAGGGAACGGGCTTTAGTCAACCAACTATCTACTATTGAAATAAATACGATGAAATTCTACTCAATATCACATGCGAGATCGTTTATTTCCTCTAAGCTGTACACTGTATTCGGCCCGCGTGTTTATGTTTACAGTACGCTCGCGCGACAATAACATGTGGAGTCGGATCGCTCGCCGCTCTTTGTTTGCCGAGATAATGCATGCACGTTTTCTAGCAAGTACGAGAGATTAGTTATTTGGAAATTCTGTCGCGATCGCGAAATTAAGCTGGCCAGCTTACCTTATTAATTCTCGCACGGGAAACAAGTAATACGAAGAAGGAGGCTCTTGCAGCGCACACTAGTCTTTCGGCAAATGTTTATATGCGAGTGATGCTGTCTCCCGTTCTCGGTTTCGCCCTCGATGGCGAATCTCTCCACTCACGCACGCTTGCACACACTCACTGGACGTAAGCTAGGTCACCGCTTTTCTCTCTCGTTTCTGCCTTCGGAAAAACTCGGGAAAATATCCAAGGTACTCGCTGCACTGCTCGGCGATCGAATTCTAATCTTCGACTCCTCTCAGGCAATATCGATAGCTGATCCTCGACTGCCTCATTTTCATACGCGCGTGTTCCGTCCCGTCGCGTGCCGAATTCCTTCGTCACATTTTCCCCAACCGGTAGGTGCTGCCCTCGCGGGCAGCCGCACGGTTGGGCCGTTAGCGCTAATAAGACGTTTACCGTCACAACGTACACTTTCTTGGATTTTTTCTGTGTTAGTATTGTTTTCACCGTCTGCAGAACAATCATAAATGATCAAAGAGATTTCAGATTCTAATTTAACAATTTCCTTTTGAATTTTATCTTCACGTATTTTTTTAATATATTAATTTGCAATTGGCTATTTTGATTTGAGAATCGAGAATTCGAGCGTGATACATAACGAATGTGTGAGCTCCAATGACATTTTTGAGATTATGTGTATTTTTTAAATCTTTAAAATACGCCTCGATATCTACTGAGGTTGTGAATTTATACGGTCTTTGAAAATACCGTCGTATTACTCTTGTCTATGCTGGAAACTGGCTGTACAGAAAATATAAATTTTCTTTTATAGCTGGACAATAAAATTTATTTTTATTTTGATCGGTTTCGATGACTTCGCCCTTTTTTTTTTTTTCAAAAATTTTTTTTTTCGGTTTTTTTCAATTTTTTTTTCTCACAGTCGGTACGCTAAAAAGATGAGAAACCACAAAAAAAATTTGTTTCCACCCATTCAATAATACTACATAACAAGTATCGTAAATTACATAAAAAAAAATCTTTTTTTTCGACCTTGAAAAATAATTTAAACCGAAAAAAAAAATTTTTCGAAAAACCGAAAAAAAAATTATTGCAGTATTCTACGTGAAAAAACAAACATTTTTTCTCCTATAAATTTTTTTCGATTGTTACAATTTGACGGAGATAAAAAATGTTGAAAAAAACTGTCACTTCCAGGAAAAAATACCCGTGCGCGCGTCATATTTGACGAAAATAAATTTTTGATGAGTGATTCAGATAGGGCTTGGTAATAGCTAAAAAATGGTGTACTTCAAATTTTTGTACGATTTTTTTTCCAAAATTGGCTAATTGTCAAAAATAATAAAAAAATTTCAGAATTTTCAATTTCGCATAATTCTTGCAAAATTTAAAAAACAATCGATGGCAACAGTGAGTCATATCATTTGAAAGCTCTCCGAAAGACCTTTCAAACGCACCCACGCGCGTCTCTGTACGTTAATTTCTACCAGAGATATAAAACTTTGAAGTTAGACTGATTTTGCCCGTGGGGGGGTAAAAGTGGCTGACCGGCACTGTATATCGGGACATTCTTTATTTTCTGAAAAGCTCATTTGGTCGTGCACCATTTCGTGTCTGTGACGGCCAGCTGTCATGTACACTAACTTTTCACCAGCTTTTTTCCGACGTGCTTTCATGAATGGCCTTTTAGTATTACTAGAACATCACAGCGCGCTTCGCGCGCCCAAATCTTTTACTGATACGTAAAATAAAATTGGTTTCATAAAATTTTCTTATTGATATAATTCTGTATAAACATTATTTTTTAGAACCAAAGTTTGTCTTTGATTTCCTAAATAAATTTTTAATGAATCCCATGATCTCACTCTAGACATAGCTACATATAGTTGACCATGATTAAAAACATCTCTTCGAAGATCGATATCAATTTGAGCTAAAGTTTGTCCTTGAGCTTTATTAATAGTCATGGCAAAAGCCAAACGAACTGGAAACTGCTTTCTTTTAAAAATGAATGGATATTGATTATCACAATATAATGTAATTCGATTAAGCAGTATTATGTTATTGCGTTTAGATCCAGTTAATATTCTACATTTGGAAAAATCAATTATTTGTAACCTTGTTCCATTACATAATCCTTCACTGAGACTAATATTTCTAATTAACATTACTATACAAAATTTCCTTAAAAGTAATTTATGAGGAGGAAAATTAGGTGGATTTAAAGAATTAAGATATTCTGGTAAAAGAACTTCATGATCCATGTTACCATTATCACAGTTTTCTGTGCTATCTATGCCAGTGTAAATACGTTCAGTAGTTTTATCTAATAAATCAGTAATTTTATTATTCATATCATCTACATCAACATTTCTGGCAGATAGAATAACACAATGACTAAGATCATCAAATTTTTTGTTTTTTATTAAGGCTCCAAAAGTGTTTTGAACAATGCATTCATTTGGAGGTAATATACAGTATTCTGGGAGCTGCAGATTATTATGTTCATCATTTAATTTTCCATTACCGACATCTAATAAATATTTGGCAAATTCAATTTCATGCGGTAATAATCTCATGTTAGTTTGCAAATAGAATATTGAAAAAAGTGGCCACAACTCGGAGTTTTTTATAGACAAATTTAATATTTCATTACGCGTACCATGGACTTTGATAGGAAGCAGTTGTCTGAAATCACCGCCTAAAACCATAATTTTGCCACCAAATGGTAGATCATTATTCATTATGTATTTTAATGTTCTATTGACTATTTCTAAAGCGTATCTCGGGGCCATAGGTGCTTCATCCCAAATAAATACTTTAGTATTTTTTAAGATCTTACCTTCATTAGATTGTATTTTTATATTTGAAGATGAATCATTAAACATTGGAACTGGTAAACCAAAAGATTTGTGCACTGTTTTTCCATTACGCAGCAATGTTGCAGCAATACCAGTATATGTCATTGTAGAGCATTTGATATTATCTGACATTAAAAGATTGTAAATGGTAGTGTAAATGAAAGTTTTCCCAGATCCTCCTTGACCATCTATGTAAAAGCAAGTTGTGCCAGTATAATTATCTGAACGTGACGCTTCAATAATGTTATCAACAATTACTTTTTGTTCAGAATTTAATTTTTTATAATTTTCATTACCAACTTCTAATCTACGATTTCTTTCGTCAATGTTATTAATATCAACTACGTTAATCATGACATTTTGATCCATTGTTGGAAAATCAGACAAACTTTTTCCTTCCTTAATCAAAATATCATTTATTTCGGAATAAGCCATTTGATAACTGATAAACAATTCATTGTTTCGTGAAAAATCCTCAGACATAGAGTCTTTAAATTTTTCCCATAACTTTTCAGGATAAATAGGTTGACAATGAATCAGTATAAGAACAAATAAATGCCTGAGCTGTTTAGGCATCATCCAATTCACAGCTTCTGCCATAGCTTTATTCCATTCATCATCATCTTCAATAATTCCTAACGCTAGACAGGCTGCTGTGAAAGAAGGATGTAATACATTATCTACGAATTTCAAATCATTGAAACTTGTTGCACCTTTTACATGAAGTAATAGTGTTAAAATATATGAATTAATATTTCAAGAGTATAAGATGTATGTAGTAGCGCACGCGCAAAAGCGCTTAAGTACGCAGCGAGATGTATCTGTACATAACTATAAGTATAGTCGTAAGAGAGCGTTTGCTTGAGGCAGACCGTGTCTCTAACTATGAGACCAACCTTGTACATATTACATGACATTACATTTTATTTTAAAACAAACTCAATAGTTTTAACTTATCCCAGTCATTTTTAACATGGTAGCAGAGCCTTGGTTAATAGTGTGATCGATTAAAAGTGAGGTTGATTCAGTGTATGGTTGACATAGTTAATGAAGAAGATAGGAATGAATGTTGTCTGAAATTTGTTTTTAAAGTTGAAAAATAAGTGAATGATCAAGAAGATGCAAGTGAATACGATTGTGAATTTTGCCGTCATGCGGTGCTTGGCAGGAACACATGGAAATTTGAGGATATACGACTAAATGAGTAGAAACAAGATAATATAGTACTCAACGTAATGAAACACCGAGGATATTGATAAGTATACTGTAAATATCAAGGTAATAAATCCTTTTATCGGAGAATGAAGTCGTTTGAAACAATAATAAACAATTAGAAACAAAAATAAAATTGAAACATTGAAACTTAAAAACAGATCAACAAGAAGTAATAAATATTTTATTAGATATATAAAGATATATAAAGATAGATACACGTGCATGAACGAGAACGTTGAGTAAAGTTGTGAAAAATTGTGTTTGAAAGTTGTAGAGTATAGAATGGCTTCTGATACGGATATGAAAATTCCTATCTTTGATGGCAAAGATTACAACCTTTGGAAAAAAAGATTATTACTTTTACTGAAATTTAGAACGTGTGATGAGGTGGTCACACACGAAAAACAATTGAAAGATACTGATTGAGAAAAGCAGAATTGTAAAGCTATGAACTTAATATATTCAAGTATTTCAAATGATCAATTAGAATTTGTATGTGATGAAAATGCAGCAATTGATATATTGAATAAGTTTGATGAAATCTACTTAAAAAAATCAACTTCTTTACAAATAGTTTTGAGAAATAGACTGAATAAATTAAAACTGAAAGATTTTGAAAATGCCGATAGTTTCTTTAGTGAATTTGAGAAATTAATTAATGAATTGAAAAGTGCTGGAGCAGATATAAAAGAACAAGAAAAATTAGATTATATATTAAAAACTCTACCTGATTCACTCGCATACATTGGAGACTTAGTCGATACTTTACAAGATAAAGATAAAAATTGCAGTTATATAAAAAACAAAATTAAAATGTATGAAATTCAACATAGCCAAGATAATAATAAAAAGTCAAATTTATTTAAAGTCGAAAAGAAAGATATTGAATGCTTCATTTGCCACAAAAAAGGGCATACAAAAAAGGATTGTAAAACTAATGCTTTTCCGAATTTCCGAGCAAGTTGGCGAGGAGGTGCTATAACCCGAGGCAGCTGGCGAGGCAACAACTCTCGTGGAAGCGGTCAAAGGGGCAGCTACAATCAAGAAGAAAATTACCAAAACAACAACTACAGAGGTTATACTAATAACAACAATAGAGGCTACGGCAACTACAGAGGCTACAGCAATAACAGAGGATATAATAACAACAACAATCGAGGTTACGGTCAACGAGGAGGTCACCGAGAGTTCAACAATCAACGAAGTTTTCAACAAGAAGGTCAACACGACGCACGCTATAGTTATAATAATAGGTATTACGATAATACACCACAGACGTTTTTTTTGGATGCAAATATTGATGTTAAAAATTTTAATAGTAGAGTAAATTCCATAAATCAGAGTCAAAGTACTCAAATAAATTGGATCTTAGATAGTGGTTGTACAGACCATATAATAAACGATGATTCTTATTTCTCAAATTTTAAAAGATTAGAAAAACCAATTTATGTAACTATTGCAGATGGTAAAAAAATAAAGTGCGAAAAAGTTGGAAATATTATAACATCATTTTATCAAAAAAGTTTTAAAACAGAAAGAATTATGAAAAATGTTTTTTATGTAAAAGAATTGGATAGAAATCTAATAAGTCTAGCTAGAATTACAAATAATAAAAATTTTAAAATCTTATCTCAAGGAAATCGATCTGAAATTTACGATAGAAACAATAATATAATTTGTACTGCGTATAACGAAAATGGTCTATATAAAATTTCGTCATATGTTGATAAAAGAAATATTAGCGTAAATAATTCTGGAATAATAAGTCAAAAAGAAAAATTACATAGGATTCTTGGCCATGTAAATTTTAATTATTTAGAAAAACTTTGCAAATATGAATTAATCGAAGGACTTCCAAAAAACTTAGAAAAAGAATATATGAAATGTGGAATTTGTATCAAAAACAAAATGCATAATTTAAGGTTTTTGAAAACAATAGAACAAAAGCAACAGAAATCCTTCAATTAGTTCATACTGACTTAAATGGCCCACACAGAAATACCGGGTACGAAGGTTCAAAATATTTTCTCACATTTATTGACGACTTTAGCAAATGTACATTGATTTTTCCAATTCAAAATAAAACTGAAGTATATCAATGTTTTCTTGAATACATAAATTTAGTAGAAAATTTAACAGGTAAAAAGATTAAAAAATTGAGGTGCGATAATGGTAAAGAATACATAAATAACAATGTTTTTAACTTAATCAGAGATAAAGGTATATATCTTGAACCTTGCCCACCGTATGTTCATCCACTAAATGGAACAGCGGAGAGATACAATAGAACGGTCATGGATACCGCTAAATGTTTATTATCGGAAGCAAAATTAAATATTAGATACTGGCCTGAAGCAGTAAAAACTGCAGCGTATTTGAAAAATCGTTCAATTGCGAATACACTTCTTAATAAGACACCTTACGAGATATTTTTTGGAAAAAGACCGAGTATGAAGTATTTAAGAATTTTTGGTAGTAAAATCTTTGTAAAAACTCCGGAAGAAAAAAGACATTCAAAATGGGACAGAAAAGCTGATATGGGAATTTTAGTTGGTTATGATAACGTAGGTTATAGAGTTTTAATGAATGGTAGAATTATAATTGCTAGACACGTAGAAGTAGTTGAAGATGATGTGAAATGGATAGGAATAGATACTGATAATGAGAGTGAAAGTGAATCTGAAACGAGTTATGAGAGTATGAGTGATGATGAAGTATTTTATGATAATGAGAAAATTAAGAAAGAAAACAAATTTAATAAAAGAAAAAAATCTAGCCCAAATTCAAGTGGAAATGATAATGAAAAGGAAAACTTAAAGTTTGAAAAGAGAGAGTCCACGCGAGAGAAAAGAAAACCTAATTGGTACGGTCAACCAGTGACAAGTTTTATTTATGTAAACACTGTTAGTGCTGATTCACCTAAGACTTATAATGACGCAGTAAATTGTAATGATTCTGCTTTGTGGAATGATGCTATGGCAAAAGAAATCCAAAGTATAGAAAAAAATAAAACTTGGACAAAAGTTGACAAACCAATAGATAAGAAAATTTTAGATTTAAGATGGGTTTACACAAATAAATCTGATGGTAGAAAAAAAGCGAGACTTGTGGTACGTGAATATCAACAAGATCAAATAATTGAAGACATATATTCACCAGTAGCTAGACTGCAAACTTTAAAATTACTTTTAGCTTACTGTAACCAAAATGAATTTTATATCGAACAAATGGATGTTGAAACAGCGTTTTTGAATGGAAAAGTTAAATCTGAAATTTATGTGAAAATACCACAAGGTTATGAAAATGTTAATGAGAATTCTGATAAAGTTTTAAAGTTAGAAAAAGCTTTGTATGGCTTAAGAGAAAGTCCTAGAGCTTGGTACGAATGTTTTGATAATTTTATTAATAGTATGAATTTCAAAAGAAGCGAAAGCGACTATTGTTTATATTATAAAACTGAGAATGGAAAAAAAATTTATATATTATTATTTGTTGATGATTTGCTAGTTTGTTCAAAAAATCAAACTGTCATTGATAAAATTAAAAAGAAATTAATGAAAAGATTTGCTATGAAAGATCTAGGTAAAATAAAAACGTATTTAGGAATTAATGTTGAATATGATCTTGAAAAAGGAAAATTGAGCCTTGATCAAACTGATTATATAAACTCATTAGGAAATGTCTATAATTTAGAAAATACTAAACTGTACTTAACACCTATGGAGGAAAGGTTACATATACCTCCAGCACAATCAGCATCTAATGAAATTAAATATAGAAATTTAATTGGAGCACTTTTGTATATCAGTACATATACTCGACCAGATATAAGCTATAGTGTAAATTATTTGAGTAGGTTTCAAAATTGTTATGATAAAACTCATTATAAATATGCTTTAAGAGTACTGAAATATTTGTATTTAACCAGAGAAAAAAAATTGAATTTTATAAGAAAATCAAATAATAAAAATATTATAGATTGTTACGTTGATGCTGATTGGGCAGGTGACAAAAATAATAGACAGTCTACGACAGGTTTTGTTATACGTTATTATGGGAATACGATTTTTTGGAAAGCAAAGAAACAAAGTAGTGTAGCTAAATCTTCTACAGCAGCAGAATATGTGGCTTTATCGGATGCTGTTAGTGAGATAAAAGTAATTAAAAATTTATTAAAAGATTTAGACGTAAATATTATTAAGCCTATAAAGATCTATGAAGATAATTCTGGTGCAATTGCTATTGCCAAATATGGAAATCTCACAAAGAAATCTAAATACATAGAAACACATTTTCATTTTATTAACGAAAGCTACGTAAGGAATGAAATTGATATTGTGAAAGTTGAGAGCGAAAAGAATATTGCGGATATATTTACAAAAGCACTAGGTAAAAATAAGTTCGAAATGTTCAGGAAAGATTTAAATATTGTATAATGAATTGTAAGAGAAACAATGTAAGATTTTTTTGAAACCTGTGAATATTTTTTTGAAAATGTTTACTGTTAAGAAATATAAATTCAAGGAGGTGTGTTAAAATATATGAATTAATATTTCAAGAGTATAAGATGTATGTAGTAGCGCACGCGCAAAAGCGCTTAAGTACGCAGCGAGATGTATCTGTACATAACTATAAGTACAGTCGTAAGAGAGCGTTTGCTTGAGGCAGACCGTGTCTCTAACTATGAGACCAACCTTGTACATATTACATGACATTACATTTTATTTTAAAACAAACTCAATAGTTTTAACTTATCCCAGTCATTTTTAACAAATAGTAATCTTAAATGAAAAAGTTCAATTTGCATTGGACTTATTGAATACATTCGACCAATGCATTTGAAATGGTTTTTTCGTGTTGTCCAGGAAGAAACAACTTGACCATTAACTTTGGTTTTTTTATAGGTAAAGTATTTGGGAATTTCAGAATAATAATATTGCTTCGCTATTTCATTAGTTGAATTCAACTTAAAATAGTCAAGTAACATACTACTTGAATTATTTAAAGTAGCTAATAATGATACTTCATTTTCATCCTCCGCAATTATTATTGTTTGTTCATGAGGTAGGTGTAATGATAATCTTACAACGGTATGACTTTTATCTTGCAATTTTTTACTTAAAATACGGTAACATGCTTCCACAGGACTAACATAGCGTGTTTCAATGAAATTGCGACATTCATCGTGCTCAATAGTACTACCACTTTCCGCTTGTCCAATTACAACGGTAGCAGCATCGTGCCCTTTATAAATATATTTATACAAATATTTAACAGCTTTTATACTTGAAACAACTTCAACGTTGATATAACAGTCAAACATTAATAACAATTTGGCACAATATGGAACTACCCATCTGTTATCTACTTTATGCCCATTAGGACATTCGTGAACATTGCCCGTATCTGTTCTGCGATAATGAGGGTAACCGTTTTCATCTAAAGTAGTATGTTGATGAAAGTCTTTTGGAAAATTTTTGGAACATTTTCCCTCCTTTATGCACCAGTTGCCACAAGGTCCATGTATCATATTTCTCATAACGATATCGAATAAACGTGGTTCGTTTAGATTCATTGGTATTTCAGCTGATATGAATTCATCAACTATGTCAGCTGTGGTCATTTTGTATCCTTGTTCTAATGTAATTAATAAATGCATGTGCGGTAATCCTCTTTTCTGGAACTCAATAACATACACGTAGGATGAAACTTTTCCAAAAAAAGCTTTCTTTACAACGATATCAAGTAATCGGTCTTTTTTCAAATCGAAAACTCTGGCTACTAAATCTGGTCTGTCAGCAGCTTGTTGACCTGGCAACAAATTTTCTGATATTTCTGGTCAATTTGGGTTGCAAGTCATTGTGAGGAAAATATCTGGTTTTCCTGTTTCATTAACAATAGCCATTGCATCTTGATAACATTGTTGCATGTACCGAGGTGTGCCAGTAAACGATGAAGGAAGAATTATAGTCTTGCCTACGTGACCATTAATATCATTTGCACTATTACTTATGTGATCATGTAATCCTTTGTACGTATCAGCTCGTAATTCTTTTTGATGATTTTTGCAGTATTGAATTCTATCTTTTTCAATTTTTACATAACTATCTACAACCCATTGTTGGAATAATCTTCGTCCTCGTATAATAGGATTAAATTCATCTTCTCTAATAGCTATTTTATATTTAGTATAATCTAAACGTGTAATTTTACGATTAGAATTTTCACGATACATGTTTGTATGCCAACCACGTGTACCATATGGGTAAAATAAAGGGTAAATCCATGGTTCTACGTTAGGATCCAAAGAACTAACTATTTCTAAGTTTTTTGTATTCTTATTTCTTATGGTAATGTATGATTCAGATATTTCTCCGTCAGCAGTTGTTGAAAATATTGCAGCAACTTCATTGACTTGTTGAAAATTATATCTACGACTATCTTGACCAGGTTTCAATGAAAATAATAATTGAAGTTCCGAAGGGGAAGAATCATTTCTCATATCTGTTATTAGCTGTTGTATCCTAATTTCATCTTTCATCATTTCATAAGATTTGGCATAACTGTTCTCATTGCGAATAATATTATCTAAAATTGACATTAATTCATAATCTATAAGGGGATTTTGTTGCAATCGATAATCTATAGCTTCGTTTTGATCGATTATAAAAAGTTGTCCATACGACGGATTTTCACCATCGCTAGGATATAAAGCTGTATTTATTTGATAATAGATTTGGCCTTGAATTTTAAAACAGTATGGAGCTGATCGACGCGATTGAAAATTAACTAAATTAGCATTAAATGAAGCAAATGATAAAGAACTATTATAATTTCGTATGTGATTGAAAAAAATTGATGATTGATTGTGTTCTCCATTGAATAAAGTCAAAAGTTCACGTGGAAAATCTGGGAATGGATCCAACGTTACCGTTCCATGACCACAGCAGTCATTGAATGATAATCCTTTATTTGAAACTTTCTCATCTTTGAAATGATTGGCTTGGCAGTGTTTGCATAAAATATTCATTAATCCTAAATAATCTTTTTCAACTATATTATCCTCTGAAATACGATGATAATCAGTAATTCCTTGTCGAGCAATTTCTCGCCTTCTACGTTGATTTTCTCTTTCTTTGACTCGTCTGTTTTGCTTAGAAACCTCTACTTCTGCGATCGTAAGTTTACGTCGACCCATAATGGAATTGTCTACTAAAATATTAATGAAAAGTAGAAAAAAAAATTTACGTTTAATTCTAAGAAGCTAATTGTTAAAATTCAATATTTCTTTAATATTTCAAGTTTTTAAGTCTCTGTACGCTTGAGACAATTATTAATGAAATAACTTAGATTTAAGTGCTGGACAGATAGATTTATGTATTGTAAAATAATAATACAAAAAAATCTCTTCTTGTCTCTTTCTCTGTCTAACTAATTATTTTATTAAACAGCAATTAAATAGTACAATTAGAACTAAAAAATATTGATATTTAATGACTTTGTTTTAATTTTTAGTTTATTTTTGTTTTGTCTTAGTTTATTTTGCTTTTCGGCTTGGATTTTTTTGGCTTTAGGCTTGATTTATGTCTGTATGGTTTGGTTCGTTTAGGTTCGTTTTGGTTTGGTTTGGTTTGGTTTGGTTTGGTTTGGCTTGGTTGGGTTGGGTTTGACTTGGTTTGGCTTGGTTTACTTTGGGTTAGCTTGCGTTAGTAATAAAATACACACATATGTATGTACATCATTTAGCAATATAAAAGTTTATTTACATATAATAAAATAACATAGACTTCAAGAAATTGTAATATATTATATCAGAGAAATACTCATTGTAAATCTGTACAAGTAGAAAACCTAAAACAAAAAATATAATTATGTAAAATACATTTTACTACGCACAATAGCTTTATTAATTAAGCTACTTATACAGTATGCCTAATAGGGCGACTGTGCCAATTACCGACCATCACTCATCACCCGTCCAATTTTATAAACTTGTAAATTAAATGAATTTCATAAATTTAAGTAAAATAAACAGTTTTATAAACATGTACTAAACCTATTTGATGCATTAAAACATTTGCATTAATATAAAACAAAGCAAAATTATTGATTTAAAAAGGTTATAAAAGTGGCCGGGTACTGGTACAGTCTTCGTTTATGGCTTTCAATAAGGCCATTTACCAAACATAAAGAAACCGCGAATAAAAGGACTTTATTTTCTTTTAAGCAGTTGCCTAACTTTTTTAAATTATGTCTTAGTATACAATAAATAAGTGATCAAATTATTTTCATTACATTTAGCAATCTAAAATTAGATATAGCTTAAATGGCCGGTAAATGGTACATCAGTTTCTTAGATGGTCGCATATTGGTACACTCACCCTATGACAATTTCATAAAAGAAACAATAGCATTCAAGAAATAGATTTAGAAATAGATTTTTCACCATATCTACCTTGGAGTGTATCATTTCAATAAAATAAAATAAATTTAATACGATATTGCTTGAATAAATACAAAAACAAATATAGACATTAACTATTGTATTCAATAATAGCACTTTATGATACTTATTTTAGATCTGTATACATATAAAAATTCTACTCACTATAACAATAGCTGTGCAAATAATCAAAACTCAGATATGTGAAGTATTGTTGAACTGCAAGTTACTACTGAGAACCGGTTGTTACTTGCTATTTTTGCAAATACCCATTCACTGTATTATACTTTTCTGAAAGTTGATATGAATTTGGTAAATGAAAAGTAATTTAAAATTAGCGAAATAGCTTGACCTCATACATCAAATTGCATTATGTTGTACCTGCATTTTTTTATAAAGGTTAGAATATTTTCAGAACCAACAAATAATTTTGTTTGTTGTCTTTGAGGTCTTGAAATAAAATTAGCCTGGCACAACTTGTATTTAATTTTCACTCAAAAAAAATGAAGAATATTCGCTTGCACTGAGATCTGTCACGCGTACATCTACTTTAATTTGAAGGTTTGAAGGTTAGACGGTAAATAAGACGTACTGCGAAGCTCAGAGCTTATTCTTCAGGCGCGCATATGTCACATACGTACATACGTAGATCTGATGATCCTGATATGCTTTGTCCCCATGTGTTACCCAGCGCCCCGAACATTTAATTTTTCAAACAATCATAGATGGCATTCTACACTCCATTGCTTTCTCTCTCACTCACGCACTTTCTCCCTTTGTTAATAAAATAGAATTACGAATTTGAAAAAACCTTTAATGAAAAAAGTACATTTTTTACAATAACTAATCGTACCATAAGTTATAATATAGTATAACTGTAGAGTATTATATATTTATATAATATGACATAGACATGAAATGCATTTTTACAACTTACATGTAAATAGAAGTAGCACTTATGATAAAATCTTGCATTACATTACATTATAAGGACAGGGTATAATAATAGTTAAACGTTTAAAAGTTTTTACAGAGTATGTGCTAGTTACAAAATATTTTAAATTAAACTTTGTTACATTACTATCAATTTACATTTTTACAGCATATAGTAATTTTATTACTCATCAATAAATATCAAGTATTTGGCTCAAATAATTATTAAAATTTATAGCATAGAGATATTTATGTTGATTTACATTAATCACAATTTTTTTTAAATATTCAATTATAATTAAACTGAATCTATAATAGAATTATTGAAATAGTAGCGTCCTAAAGCTATCAGTTGTCATTAATATTTTTTTTTCTAAGTCTCATCATATTGTCATTAATACTTTTTTTACGAAGTCTCATCATATTATTTAATAATACTCATGCAAATCGAAATGTTTCGATTGTTATTGATTGTTAAGAACTTACAAATGCAGTTTTTCTTATGCAAAACGTGAAAATAAATGAACGATTTAAAGAAAGCAAATAAACAAGTGAACTTAATTGTTAAATACTAAAATAAAAACTTTCTAAGTCTCATTTAGAACATCTATTAAGAAAAGTGAAGATCAATTCCAAGAACTGCAATAAACTTCAATAAATAAAATTACTCTCGTTCCCGTTTAGGAGTCCGTATCCTGCGGCTAATTATGCTGCAGACATAGTTTCTTTGCCTGCAACTTCTTCAATGGAGTTTGAATCTCTGCAAATGATGACTAACACTGCTCCTTGAGCTGAAATGTATACAATAAAATAAGATACCTTCTTTTCACAATTGTGCAAATAGGAAATGTTTTATGATAAGTGTAACCATTTTTAATATTATAAAACCAACGTACCAGATGAATCTACTTCTCCAATGACTTTGATGCGTTTTCCTTTTTGAATCTCAAGCTCAGTGTAATTTCTCACATGAATGTTCACTTTGTACTTTCCATCGGTAATGCAGCCAAGCCCATATGTCTCCCTCTTGAACTGATTTTCAGTTTTAAAAAATTCTGTTTTAAGATTGCCTTCGAGGCCTGTGAACATTGTAAATGTATAAAATTATATATTGTAAATATAAAATAAATTTTATAATATATAAAATTAAAAAACTGTAAATATATAAATTGTAAATATTTCAATCAAATTGAAGTGAAAAAATCATGCAAGCGAAAGACAAACTCAAATTGAATTTGAAAAATCAAAAATTTGTAAATAAATATAAATTGTAAATATTTCAATCAAATTGAATTTAAAAAATTATGCAAGCGAAAGACAAACTTACGGATTAATCCTGACGCCTTTCTCAGATTTTCAAATGTACATACAGCTACTTTCTCTTGGTCAATAGGATTAGTATTGTTGTAATCCCCATGAAATTCAATATTCGTTATATCCTTGATGATGAGTTCAAATGGAACAACGTTGCTGTTTTGCTTGTAGTAAGTTGTAGCTTTCGTGTAGGTTTTCTCGATATTCAAAATCTACATAATATATAATCATATCATGTTATAGATAATGATATATATTTTCTAAATAATGTAAAAAAATATATCAAACAGGTAAATTCAACGCACCTTGCCAATAGTAATGTTTTCTACATATTTTGTTATCAAGCTCTGGCCCCAAATGAGAACAACAATTCTTTTGTTTCCCCCATTATTCATAACAAATTTGAAAAGATCAAATTTGTTAGTTTTTCCAACAACGGTAGGTGCATCAACGTAACCTTTCATCTCTCTAGAAAATTAACAATTTTTTTAAGATGATATATGAAACAAAAAAATATTTTATATTATTAAATTAAAAAAATATCTTACGTGAGTTCATCTTTGTCAGTTAAGTAGTCAAAATTTTCATCAGGAGTGAAAGGTGCCTGATTCTCCTGATTTTCAACATCCATCATTTCCTAAAAAAACATTACAATTTAGTCGTCAACGTGAATTATTAACAATGTTATAATAGTTGATTAGATGCGAAACTAAAAGCGACAACAATATATAATTAATTAGATACGAAACTAAAACCGACATTGAACATAACCTAGCTCACAATAACCATACTTTTCTTAAATAAATATAGTTTTCTTAAATACTATCAAATATTTTTATCAAAATTTACATTTGTTAATTATACTTACCAAATCTATCTTGAAATAAATTCAAACAATGCGATTGCAATGATTGCAAAAGATGTTAAGCGAAGCAAGACACGGTCTTTTCTACCAGTAACTCTAGATCACGGTTACTATACACTATACACTATTAAAAAGACAAATGGGCTGTCACATCCTCACGTGATCTCTCTCAGCCAATCAGATCACGAATAAAATGACTTCACATCAATTTTTATAGAAGGGATGGTACAGCTCAGTTGTGTTATATGTAAAAATATCGAAGTCAATCCCGTCTTCATCGCTCACTGGTTTTTTCATGCTTACGCCGTACATTTACGTTCTGCAATCTTTTTGCTTACAGTGAGCATAAAAATCTAGATATTTGTCAGTCCAGCGTTTATATACTTTTCCAACTTTAAAAATATAGGCACATCTTAGCGCCGTATTATCATATATGTTACATGCAATCACTGGTATCCATTGATGTTTAGGCAGTACTCCCTTTACTGGCTTGATACACTTCCATTCTTTTTCATTAAGGTGAATCTTGAAGTTGAGTGGAGTAAAATTCTGTGGATTCTGATTTTTGGCCAGCTAACAATGTCATTATCACATTCCAATAAATCCGAGTCGTGATCAGAAGATGCGTTAAGCTCAAGAGCTT